CCCCAAAACCCCAAAACCCCAAAACCCCAAAACCCCAAAACCCCATTTAAGAATTTTATATGGAATGTTGCTAAATTAGTTTAAAATAAATTAATCCTACAATGTCAAGTATTATTTACGAAGACCAGAACCCAAACAGAGATTCTGCTTCTCGCTTCAGCAATATTTTCTATACGACTCCGCTTAGGAAGAGATATGGAAAAGAGAATGTTCTTAACAATAGCCAGGACATCATTGAGAAGACTCCAGACCCATCCATAATAATAGAGGTAGGCGATTTGGTGAACCCTGTCCCTTTTTAAAAATGTTTTGTGTTTTAACCGATACTAACAACTATATAGAGAAAGTCAGGAGTTAAGAGTTTCGGAAAGAAAGGACTCAGCAGCCCTCAGGCATACAAAATGACAACAATGACTAAGAAGTATAAGACCAGAGGCTCTTCAGATAAACAGTTGTTCTCATTCGTCTCAAGCGAAAAAGACACTACGGACACCCATGGGAGGATAAAGAGCTCCGTAAGTTTATTGTTTCGCTCTCTTTATATCAAGATCACCAAAGGGTACTTAGAAGTCAAATTGGTGATTTCACCAAAGAGAAATTTTCAATTTAGAGTATCTTTTTACAAAACTTTAGGTGATTTCAAAAATTGTTCCTTATAAATTCTTATAGAAAAATGTATCAATGTTACCAATGAATGAAGAACTTCATGACCTTGAGATCGAAAGTGTTAGCTCAGGCCAATCCTCTAAGAAGGATGCTAAGTATAGGTAAGCAAGAATCTTTAACCCTCTAGTACGCTTAGACTAAACAAATCAACTAAAGAAATTTCAAGACTCAAGAAAGAATTAAAGGAAAATCACCAACCTATGGTGGTTGATTATTCTTCAGGACCGATCCAAGATATGGACATTTCAGCAACAATGGCGCTTAGGGAGAACCTTATAAAAATAACTAACTTGCTCTACATTAAGAAAAAGTGAAATGGGTCCGAAATGAGGCCATTGGAAACGTAAGAGACTTTATCTCAGTTGTATAGTTCAACATCCCCCAGCCAAAGAAGCACCTATAATAGAATTCGCTGTAAGAGCCCAAAACATAAAAGGCTTGGATCTGAGACAAGATTAACTGGAATTCCAAACTCGCAGCTTAGTCTTCTTGAACTTTCTGAGAAGATCCTTAAGAAGGCTGAGAAGGTAAGTTTCTTCAAAATCATCATTAGATAAGCGAACAAGAGAAGTCGAAGATTCACCACGAATTTCCTCTGAGAAACAAGATCAAATTCCTAGAGACTGAAAACCAGAGAATTAGTCAAAGTTATGAGATCAGAATTAAAGAGCTTGAGTCTCAACTTGCTAGAAAGAAGAAGAGAGGAGTCTCTAGAAAATCTAGAGCCAGCAAAGAAGACGGTGTCTATACTAAAGGCCAGCAAAAACAAATGGTCGAAGATTATGAAAATGTCCTTTTAGTCTTGAATGAGAAACACATTACTTTAGCCGAAGATTTCCCAGATTACAATGCGGTTGTTGATGAGAGTAAGTTGAGCACTTCTGAAATGCTTCAAGAGATGCTTGATTACCTTCATAAGAAAACAAATGTGGAGAAGCCGAGAAAGACAGTGAAAGAGGCACATTTTAAAGATGCTATAGAGTCTTCAATGAATCCTCAGAGAAATTCACAGTTCTTTTGTCCTAAAATGACTTTTGAGCCAAACAGATTCAAAGGCGACAGCGTGCACAACTCAGTCGGAGTTAAAGTTTCCAAAATTGACGAAGACGACTCCTTATAAAGGATAACAATTAAAGCTATTTGATGGTTATTAAATTTTCTTTGTTCAACTTCTCTCTGAGCTATCGGGGTTTTGGGGTTTTGGGGTTTTGGGGTTTTGGGGTTTTGGGG